GTTATAAATTTATATGTCATGGCCTCCTGTCATTGTTATCGCCTCTATCCTATCATGGCCTCCAAATATAAATGAACCTCGGTTTCTGCGATTTTTTTTGGGTCAAACCATGGACTATGGAGATAAGGTAAAAACTGGAAAAGAATTAACTATGTTTTTAGAGAAATAGAAAGCCTTAGCAGAGAAGGAAAATAGAAATATTTAAACATAGACAATCAAGACATGTTGACCGTGGAAAAGCCATGCTTCGCCACAACTTGGGCAGCCGCGACCGGAGTGATACCATGGCGTCACAGAAAATCGGTGTTAAGGGGTCTTTCGTTGGGTTTTACCGAGTGAGTGAGATTACGGGAGCCTAAACTCTAATTATGGAGCGGGGGACTGAATGTGTGACTCTCGACTTGCAGGTGTTCATGACCGACGGTGGTTACTTCACATCATCACATCAATTGCAACTGCTGGACATAAGCCTCTCCTTAGAAAGGAGGTTTTGGTCTACTATACCACGCTGGACAGACGAGTTGGTATAGGGTTCGTTTCAAGTTTTCCTTCTCTCTGCAGTGCTGTTGTTCTGCGTAGTTTTTTCCCTTAGTCGACTCTTATGACACCCACGGGATGAATAGGGCTGTGACACTCTGTATTCTTAATCCGTCACCACACGTAGTGTAACGGTGTTTACTTACCGTCAGATGATCCATATGTTGGTTTGCCGGTTTTTATATCACCGAAACATTGTTGCATTATTGCTTGTTTAAATGTTTAACAATTCAAATGTTAGCTATTTCATGCTTTACAGTAAAATTTGGCTTGATTGGATTACATTTATAAACTTTTATCAAGTGAAAAATTTTCACCTTACAACAATGCTACGGGTTACTTAAATTACTTCTTGGAAGCCTAATCATGGTCATGTCTGCCGGCACTATTTGGATATGAGGTGTATTCTGTTAATATATACATTAGGTCTTAATAGCGTCTTATTCAACTAAAACAGCTCTCTCATTACTTTTTATGATCATCTCACGAAGTACAATAAAATATTTTGAATCACGATCCAGACAACAAATCGATATAAATATTAGTTTATCTTAAAGTTGTTTTTAAATTTATCTAATTTTTAATGTACCAGTTGTATGATGACCGTTATGAACTTCTTTCAATTGTAAACTTTAGCGAACTGAGTAATGTTTCTACTATCTATACTAATTAATAAAATTGGAGTGTCTGTTTGTAATATTACAATAACCGCTTTTTACTAAATGCATATGTATGTTTACACGGTACATATTATGCCAAAATAACATTTTTTACAATTTTTGTCTGTCTGTTTGTTCCGGGTAATCTCTGGAACGGCTGGTCCGATTTCGGCGGGACTATCACTGGCAGATAGCTGATGACATAAGGAGTAACTTAGGCTACTTTTTTTAGACTAGCTACGCCCCACGGCGTTGCCCGCGGTTATAACAACAAACGTGGGTAACACCGCGGGTCTCAGCTAGTCAGCACTAAATCTGTAACGTATATCTATTCTCCATTGTCCACGTACAAGTATATTATATTTCTAAACTTCACATACAATTCGTCATTCATATACCCTCCATAAAAAGTATTGTGACTGGTATAGGTGGAGGTATTCTTCGAAACAATTGAACCACTTTGAAAAATATATTCACCTTTTTAACCGACTTCAAAAATACACAAAAGGAGGTTACGGGATATCTCCGTAAATTGTAGACCGATTTTCCAAATTCTTTTTGGACTCGAAAGAATAAACTCCCGTGGTGGTCCCATTGCCACCAAATCAGGATCTGATAACGAATCTTAGAGAAATCCTCAAATTTCACAGTCCCGACAACGTGTTTCAGCTTGTTTCTCTAGCTATATAAGTATTTCAACTTTACCTTTATGTTTACTTCAAACAGACTAGAAGGTATATATTGCTATTATAATGTTAATTTTAGTTTTTTCACTTAGATTTATAATTTTAATATTTAGTGCTCTTTGTTAGTATTGTTTGAAGTCGGTTCAACTTTTTTTTAAGGGTTTCAATAATATTGAACACAATATTGAACTTTGTTTTTTAACAATATTGACAAGTTAAAATTTTGCAAAGTTATTGAATCGTGCCTTGACATTAAATGGCCAAAGAAAAATATCGACATGCTGCTAAAGTGGTGTGATTATAACATATTTAACATCGGGTTAAATATCAACACAAAGTACCACTTTAAATTTATTTAGGGACACGAACTTCTAACTACCTTTTTTTTTTTTCGTGCCTAAATCCCCTCGGATACCACCTATCGGTGGCATGTCGGACTCGAACCGACTAAAACCGCACGCCGTCTCGGGTAGTAATAGCCGGGGAACCAGATATCCCCTTGAAAGGAAGTGCCTGGTGCCCCGACATACCTCGGGCCATCTACAACAAGTAGACGACCCCCCCGTGTGAGAACCCCATGTTCCCTCTGCTCCCTGGAAGCCGCTCGCCGCCACCCCGGCCTGCTTCTGCTAGGGTGACAGATGGCCTCACCTGTCGCCCCAGAGCTGCGCTTATGGAGGACGGACGGTCGCCTGAGTCGCCTGCGGTACCTGGCCCGTTCCCGGGCCTGGCAGGCCGGGAGAGTTCTAAGCCTCTCCCGGTCCCGCTCCGCCGTCTCCTTCGCAAGCATAACTTGCTCGCAGAAGGAGACGGTAGAGTTCCACGCACTCTCGCTCCGCACGATAGCCGCAATCAAGCTATCGAGCGAGAGAACTCCCACTCCGATGGCCGCCACGAGGTCTCGCCTCTGCTCAAAACACGCCGGGCACTTTGCCAGCGTGTGGACGGTCTGGCCATCCCAGTGGTGGCACTCAGGCGTTGGCTCCTTGAGGATCAGACACACAGGTGATCCCCGAAACATCCTTTCCCAGTGATCACCTGCGTCAGTCGGTATGAGAGGGTCCCGTGACGCCTCTCGAGCCAATCCTCCATAACGGGTCTTACCTCTGCGATGACGGCGTGCCCGGCGCTCGGTGGCCCGAGTCGTTCCCTCCACTCCCCTATGAAACTTCTACGAGGTTTTAAGCCAATACAAGAATTCAACAGATTTGGGAAGTTTTTATTAGTCAATCAGTTAACATTTATACCGGGATAAAAGACGAAAGTGAATGTACATGTATGAATGTAAACACGAGATCTGAGTATTTCTTTATTTGTTTAGGCTAATTTGCTTTGTCACTGTCATTTGGGTGTATAAAGAGAAACTTAAAGAAGAAAGATTTACAGGGTGTTAATTTTTTCTTTAAAATCTTGTCACAGAAAATGCTCTCTCACTAGTTATTGGGATGGATAAAAAAAAAATACGTGTACTCTTGAAATATTTAGTCTCCTACATTTTGCTTTACGTCGTCTATTTCGTATCATAGTAACATGAATATTAAATTCTACGAGTGTTTAAATAGTACCAACAGTACAATCACTTCAATTAAAACAAATATTTTGCAAATGGTTCACAAATTGCAGACTTGCAGAGCGACCAGTGTAGTGTGTGTTTTACGTGTTGGGTCCTGTAGAGAACTCATTCTCTTATTTAATTTTTATGAAAAAATAAAATTATATTTTGTATTTAGTTAAGAGCACTTATTATTTTAAGCAGACAATTTTTAACATTCTTCGGGGATCTAGAAATCACATATTTAGAGTAATCCCCAGAGTAAGGTGATTGGTCGGCTAATGCATCACATAATCTACTTACAAAAAGTTTTGTTTTGTTTGATGTCTATCAAAATTAAATTTTCTGTGTACTATTTAAGTAAAAAGGAAACTATGTCATTCGTTTAGAGATGATTGTATTTTGTTTGTGTTGTGTTTCTGTGTTGCATACACTTGTAAACATAGCTTGTAATTTTATAAATGCATTTTTTAGGTACTATTGTATAAATTGAGATGAGTTTCCGTATTACTTTTAATTATCTTTTTGTATTTTTTTATATTTATTTACATTGTGTTACCGGTTTGGCGCGTGATTTTGTCACCTGGGCTTCGCATTGATAATCAGCTCTGTTTATGTGCTCCCGCTTTAGTACAATAATTTACGACCACAGTTACGATACATAATGGTAATCCATTAGGTATATTTATGTTCTATCTAATTACTTGGCAATATAGATTATTTCCTTTTTGTTTTTTTTCCATACTTTGTCCTTATTGCCTAAAAAAATAATTAAAGAAATGTATTGTACGTATATATCATCATCAACAGCCTATACTAGTCCACTGCTGGACATAGGCCTCTCCTTAGAAAGGAGGTTTTGGCCTACTATACCACGCTGGCCAGACGGGTTGGTATAGGGTTTGTTTCAAGTTTTCCTTCTCTTTTCAGTGCTGTTGTCCTGCTTAGTTTGCTCCCTTAGTCGGCTCTTACGACACCCACGGGATGAATTGGGGTGGTGACAATTTGTATTCTTAATCCGTCACCACACGGACACGTACGTACACGTACGTATATAAAAGCAGAAATACTGATAGTACAAGTATTGAACTAAAACGCACACATGCAGACTCTTGAAACTTAAAACACTATTAGTGTGCCCAAAATTGTTAAAGAGTTCCTGCAGTTTCTCCAAAATTCCATAATTAGATCCTCACTTGTTAACCATCAGACGATATGTACGGTATATTTTTTTAAGAAAAATTAAAGAATTTTCCAAATCGTTTCTATCATTTTTTTTAATCGGGTATATTTGAAAAGAGTAGGTTCTGCTAAACTGAGCACTTCGTCTTTTTTTAGAAGTCGGTTAAAAAGACATCGGACAAGGTCGATCACGTTCAGTAGTTCAAAAACTCCTCGCACTAATTACGTGGTGTATCATAGCTACTTCTATTAAGGTGTATGACGTCACATTGTATGTGTTCAGGATCACGATTTTTCGTATATATAATAGGTCAGACGCTGCAGAGCTTCAGTACGACTTCAGTCTCATTGCAATTAATTTGGAGTGATCCGACAAAAGCCAACATGAAACTGGTAATTTCTTTATTTAATTCTCTATAATTTTGTTCTGGTAGTGTTCTCTTTTTTTAAATCCAAAACAAGAATATTGCTCTCAAGAAACTTGGGAATAATATCGCTGGATTTCAACAGTAATTGATTGTACCCTGGTACAGTTGCATCGGGAATAGAATTCTAGGATACCTATGTATGTAATCCTCATATTGCGAGTGATTTATATGCTTAAAGTGATATATCTAAACATACAAATGCAGTAATTTAATGTTAAGAAGATTAATTTGATATTTATAATATAAGTGTAGAATAAGCTTTTTATTTGTCGTGTGGTGATTAAAAATAAGGAGTGTTATCATCCCTATTCATCCCATGGGTGTCGAAAGAGCTGACTAAGGGAGCAAACTACGTAGAGAAACAGCATTTCAAAGAGAAGGATAACTTGTCACAAACCCTATACCAACCCATTTTGGCCAGCGTGGTATAATAGGCCAAAACCTCCTTTCTAAAGAGAGGCCCATGTCCATCAGTGGACTTTTAAAATGTGTTTATGATCTTGATGAATTAGCTGTTAAAAAAGTGTCACCTACTTCAATTTTATTTGCCTAGATTTTGAAAAAAAAATATAGGTATGCCTTATTTTACCTTTAGGTGGTATTTTTCTTAGAATTGGTGTGTTTCCAAAACTAAGTTTTCCAAATCTTTTCATAAACGAGTTCTGAGGTAACAAACATAATAAAATACAACTAAATTGTTTTTATTAGCTGTTAAATAAATGCAGAATACCTAATTTAATGCGTAAAAAACAACAGTATGTCAATTCAGAATTTTCTTTAATTGCGTACTAATAAATATGTATGTAAACTAGTAAATATATGTCAATTATCATATTTTTTTTATTATTAAAATCAACTCACTTGTTTACAGTTTGTGATTGCCGCTCTTATCGCTGTCAGCGCAGCAGCTCGCCTAGAACATTTGGAACAACAGCAACAGCAGCGCCAATACCTTCCACCTCGCCAAAACTCTGGCTTCGGTTTCAACAATGGACTTGATTCTTCAAAAAGACCCTTTGGAGCGATAGCTGGTGCTTATGGCACCGCCGGCCCTGATTATCCAGGGTACAATGCTCGTGCTTCCTTCCCAGGCGCTTCTGATCGTTACCTTCCTCCTAACCATGGACCTTCTGGATTGGCTTCTGGTAGTGTTCCCCAGTTTTCAGGTTCTGTCAACGGTACGTAGATTTTTTTTTTGTTTAATCAGTTATAATGTAATGTATAAATTATCTTAAGTAAATTTATTGAACTTTATTATTAAAATTGAAGTTTTTGAAAACACTAAAAATATGTATGATTATTATTTGATTAACAAAGGAAAAAATAAGTTCTTTTAATCAAAAATATTGTAGACATTGTTTTTTTTTGTTTGTGAACTTGTCTATGTATCTTCAAGTCTTATATCAATGAACCCAAGTTATGTATGTTTTATGTACGAGTATTAAGGAAAACTGAAATACTATTAAAAAAAGTTGTAAATATAGGAGTAATAAGCCATAAACGTCATTGAAATGACATTATATATGTAACTTTAGGTATCAGAATTGTGTAACCTTAATATAATTATGTGTGTTGTATTATATCAATTGGCTTTCCATAGGTTTTCGTGGACAGGACATCTCAAGCCGTCAAGGCCTCCAGAATTCTTTCGGTGCTCAACCCAGGTTCCAGTCACAATCTGGTGTCAACCGTCAGTATTTAGCTCCTCATTCTTCTCAGGACATTCCACAACAATCATTTGATGAGCAGACAGGATACCACTACTGAGTGTTACAGTCCCCCATTAGTATGTTTAGCTAGAATTTTGTTTGTGCACAATAAATGACAGCAAATTATTTGGTAATTTCATTTTTGATTTATAGAAAGATCATTTTACCTAATTTAAAGTTAGTTTTAAACTATTTTATTTATTACCTCAGTACTCCGTCATTAAAACAGAATTTGATGAGTTCTTTTTTTATTTGAAAGGATATACTTCTTTGATCCTATTCAAATACGAACAAAGAACTCCACCCCTAAGGATGAAAATAAAATAATAAATAATATAATTTAATACATTCAATTCATCATAACGTTAGTGTATTCAAGTCGGTGATACTTTTTTTAAAGCAATTTTTCTTTTTTTAAGTAAAAAAACACTCGGAATTATTCTGTGTCGCTGACGACTTTACAAACATACACGAAATGGTCACAAAAAACAACAGTTTGTGAATCACACAGGGTGTTGTCCCATGTGGGGATTGAACCCACAACACTTAGCGCAGTAAGAATCGGCGAGGTGACCGCTAACACCACACAGTCCGAACAGTCAAATAATTTTGTATAGTCAACAACTATGAATTACTGATATTGATTGAGTTTATTCGTCTAAAGCCAATCCTAGATGATAAACTGTTCTGAGTCTGTCATATTGTACGATCATATTTGTTCCATGCCTGGGTGTAATTTATCTATAGCATTTAAAAATATATAAGTATGTTTATCAGCAGTCTGGTTGCTGGTTTTAGTTTGGGATAAGGTTTTCATAAAAAGAAATGAATGAGTATATGAAATTTCAAAGCAAGTGATTTTAATTTAGAGAATAAAATATTTAAGAGAGGTAACTTTAACATAATATTTGTTAAATTTACCTTTAAAGATATTTGGAAAAGTGAATGAGGTGCAATTTAGTGCAGGCTCTGCTTGGTTTGGGGTCAGACTGCCGTGTGTGAGATGTGTGAAGTTAATATTATCCTTCTATATATATTTATATATCCGTTATAGACACGGAAGATATAAAGAGCCCTCAAAATTGTCGTTTTTAACTTAATTTTACTTTATTAAACATCATAAAAACGGTAATATTTTTAATTTAAGAGTACCGTGGATCACGCCCTAACGTCCAATGTGCGTGGGATTGGATCAGGCCGGCAACCATTTGATTTCAAGTCCAAGGCCTTTTTCTCGCTGCCATTGATATGGTTAATAATTTATTTAAAAAAATACGGCGTGAGCTTGCAGCCTCTTTCCCCTAATCCTATTAGTTTGAGATGGTGATTGCCTGATTTTTTTACCATTTATGGAGTTTAGGAGGTTTTACTTACATTTGTATTTCGGGGATACCCGTCGGGGTCACTAATTCTTAAAAGGTGAAAGGTCCTCTCACTTCTATGACAGGCAATATACTATATTAAAAACCGTGAATTCTTTATAAATATAAATACGAATTTCTTTAATTTCGATAATTTTTCTGTTAATTGTTCTACGAGTGAATAATTTGGTTTGTATCAAGTGCTACGAGACTAAAGTGACGATTTAAATCAAAAAGTGATATTTACTAGTTTTGTTGCATACTATTATTTAATTTACTTATATTTATGTTCGTTTCGTTACGAGGTCAATGTGTTCGATTTTATAATAAAATCCCAAATAATATTCAAGACTTTAACAAATTTAAACTATCTCAGAAAGCCTATTACTCAGTCACCACCAGACCTTGCACCTACCGACTATTACTTTTTCCAAAATTTAGACAACTTTTTAGTGGGTAAAAAAATCAATTTCCGAGAGGCAGTACAAAATGCCTTTGAAGAGTTTGTTGCCTCCCGTCCAGCTAATTTTTACAAGAAAGGCATCAATAAACTGCCAATGCGTTGGCAAAGATGCGTCGATTGCATGGGTGATTACTTCGAATAACAGAAATAAACAAGTTTGAAAAAATAAGTACTTTCACTTATTGCATACAAAACGGCAATTTCATAGGTAAAGACCTAATATTTAAAAATGCCATTGTATCTATCTGTAAAGTGCAAAAGAGTGGTCATGAGTTTGTTTGCCCTTTCTTCTTTTCATAAGGCTCAACCGGTTGTAGATCTGCACAGGCATATCATAGATTTTGCATAGGTATAACCTTATTAAATTTATTTTTCTAACGATTCGACAAACCAGAGATTGTTGTTATTGTGTACGTGTGTTGATCTACGACTTTAGAGTCAACATAAAAAACGATTTCAAACAATTTAAAATAATAATTAAATAAAGATATTTTGAGTTGAGTTGAGTTATCCTAATGCATTACAATGGTGATACTGTCTTTTAAGAATATGTTTTTTTCACTAAAAATAAATATCTATTATTTATTTTTCTTTTCCTTATTGTCTTTTAGTATTCCAAAAGTCGATTGGGATTAAGTAATTCAGCTCATTTGCCAATTACACTAATCACAGTGAAAATCACAGAATCTAACATAAGCTCTGTAATCTTTATGCGAGCAGAAATATACGGATGGATAGTAAATTTATAAGAAAAAAGTGCTTATGTAACTTTGTATTGACAAAATCCGCTTCCAAAATAAATTCATATATAATAATTATATTACGAAATTATTATGACTGGCCTGATGGTCGTGGCTTTGTGTTTCGTCCAGGACAAGTAATTATATTTAGCACGGTCATTTGAGCCTGGGCGTGATTTATCTATAACATGAAAGTATTTAGAAATAAAAAAGTATATTTATCAGTGTTTTGGTAACCATAGTACAAGTCCTGTCTAGTTTTTAGTCACATGGCTGTGTGTAAGACGTGTCAGGTTACTATTAAACTCAAACTCATTTTTTCTATTTAGAAGACCTTGTTACTGTACACTTACAAACATCAGTAGCATACATCATAATAATCGTAATAAAAAAAACAAGACGCTATAACAACAGAGATAAAACAATGACTCTTATGACCTAAGTGAACGGTCATAAGAGTCACATAAATACATGCAAGGAGTAACAAATCATTCCAATTGTATAGCTTAAATCTGTAGTCATCAGAAGGGCTAAAACCTAAAGCCGAAAGACTTCTGCAAGAAAAACCTGATTCCACAAATAATGCCAGTAATTGGCTATTTTAATAGTAAATTCTGTTTTTAACATTTTTTTTGAAAATATTTATTAGTACACTGGATAAAATGTTTAGAAACACTGCTCCATAGTAAATACCATAAGACATAACACTATGAAAGTAACTAAAATAAATTAATCTAGCCGTTTCTACATATATCCTTTGGCTGACGAATTTTAAAGACAGCATAAGCTCCAGGACTAAGTCTATTCGAGAGATTAGCTACATGACTTTATACTTTAGATAATAAGCTGCAATGGGGTCGCTGTATTATGACGACCAGATGGCGTAGTGGTTTGTGTAACGGACTGCTATTCCAAAGGTCGCGGGTTCGATTCCCGCTCAAGTCAAACATTTGTGTGCATGAACATTTAATGTTTGATTTGGGGGTGTATCTATGTATAATATGTATGTATTTATAAAAGAATATATATTATTATATGTATTTATATCAGTTGTCCAGCACCCATAGTACAAGCTCTGCTTAGTTTGGGACGAGATGGCGTTGTGTGGACTTGAAAAAAAAATAATTAAAGTTAAATCGAAAAAGACCGCAGTAGTGCGTACAATTCCTCCCTACCGGCCATATCCCTCACTGGAGTGGTAAATAATGTCATTGAGTACTAGCGTAATGTACATTAAATGTTAAATAAATCATAACCCGAGGCTTTTTCCAAACTAGGTTGGGGTCGGCTTACAGTCTAGTACGACGCGGCTGAACTTCGGTTTTTCTAGGTGGAGCTGCCATCAGACCTCTACAACCTAAGTTCTTTAGATATACTGTTGTATCGGACTTTTTAGGGCTCCAACTACCCTTAACGATTGTCACAGATGTTTGTATGGCAAACGGGACCGACGGCTTAACTTAACGTGCATGTGAAAGTGGTACATTATAATATTTATCAAAGGAGGGCAACGCACCTATGTTTGTTAAGTTGCAAGCGTCCGTGGTCAGCGATAGTCACTTATCATCAGGGTCTCAATTCTGCTATTTTAATATTGTATTAATAGACTGTCGATGAAATGTCGTCGAAATAGTTTTGCACTTTTCGTATTCTAATAACTATGTAAGACCAATGGCTCCCCGATGACTTGTCACTGAACTGTCACCGATACAAATGTCGTCAATGTCTTTGTAATAGTTTGGTAACGGTACATTTAAAATTTGTAAGGAAATGATTTATTTATTTTTCCAGAAATGCAATGTGGTTAATGTTACCATTGATGACCCATTGTTACTGTAAGTACAGTCTATTGACACTGTGATTTTATGTCCCGTCTTCCACCCAATGCTTACTATAAAAATTCTACCCCATAGTTATCAAAATGCTATAAAACTGCTGCAAGATATGACAAACGAGGCCAACCAAGGTCGATCACGTTTAGGAACTCAAAAACTCTTAAAACTAATTACATTTGGTATGATAAGTTTATTTTAATGAATGATGACGTCAGTTCTATTCAGGATCACGATTAGGTGTATATATAATAGGTCAGGTGCTTTATTAATATAGTATCTCTTGAGCTTCATCCATCAAAACATCCAAAATGAAATTGGTAAATTTGTTTTGTTTTTTTTTAATTATAAATTAGATGAATTCGTTATTTCTGTCTTGAAACAAAAAGTAAATCACATCACATTTTTATGGGTGGTAATAGTCTGCTGGATATAGGCCTCTCCTTACAATGGAAGTTTTGGCCATGCTGGCCATACGGGTTGGTATAGGGATTGTGTCAAGTTCGGCGCTGGGAGGCCGGCGCTGGGAGGGGTCCAGAAGGCGATAACTACCTGGACCCCCCCTAAACTGGAAGCGCAAAGAGCACACCGTGTGGTTTTAGTCGGTTCAAGTCCGACACCGCCCCGCCGAACGAGAGCCCCGGCGGGGTGACGGTCCGAGGGGATTTCCACACGTAAAAAAAAAAACAAAAGGGATTGTGTCAAGTTACCCTTCTCTTTGTTTTATCCTTTTCTTTTCCTTATGGGAGTAGTTGACTAAACGACATTAGTAAAGACCACCTTAAATCATTTTTTTTTTTGTAATCTGTTCTTCATAGAAAAAGCATTGAAGTGATAATGTAATAATTTAAACCAAAAAAAAGACTACTTAATTTTTAAAAAGTACCTCGTTTTTTTTTAGGTTTAACTTATTTTTTATTCAAAAATCATCTTGTTAGGAGCGGTGGTAGTGCGTTCGATTTCTGCTCCAACAGTCGCGGGTTCCATTTCCGCTAATATTCTCTGGATACTCACATATAAAATATGTATCTATTAACAGAAAAATATATATTAATATATGTTTGCCGTTGTTTTAGAATCTGCAGTACAAACTCAACTTAATTGGAATGAACCGATGTCTCAGGATAATATTTTTTTAATTGCCTATCATCAATATCCCAATTTTTAATTTTCACTTAAGAGTTTATTTTTCCTTGGAATTATTTTTTTTTGATAATTGCACTAACATCAATAATCTAGAGGTAATAGCCTAAAGGTTCATGGAACTGGATGGATTCAAATCAACACATGGACTTGAGATTCTAAGTCCAAGTGTTGATTTGAATCCCAATTAACATCATAAACTCGCCGCTGATAATATGTGAACGGATTTAGCAACACGACTAAAATAATTAATTTCCTACTCAAATTGTTTTACAAATTCTACAGATTATATTTACTGGATTGCTGGCAGCCTGTACCGCTGCTAGCCTGGAACATCTAGAAAAGAAGCAAAACAGCTATCTTCCTGCTGCTAAAGGCTCTAGCAGCAGTCCTAGTAAAGATTCTGATGTAGAAGGTTCCGTAGGAGATGATACGAATGCTATTGGCGCATCTAGTATTGATCAGCCAGGCTTGAGTGCTCATTCTTTGGTTCCTTCCAACCCTAACTTGTCTTCCAACAAAGACCTTTCCTCATCTGCAACTGATTCTGAATTTGAGGGTTACTTCTATGGTAAGTGAATATTAAGTTGTAAGTAATTAACCCGTTAATTATTATTTAACCCATCTGGCCAGCATGGTATAGTGGGCCGAAGCCCACTTTGCTGATGAAGTTATTCTAATAAGCATCAGAATTTTATTTGAAAAAACAAGTCTCCCCCGTCGCTTTTATCTATTTTATGAACATGACATAAAGATGACAGAAAGCAAATATTTATGAGAAAGTAAGCAAAAAATGGCAATGTAATTTTGCTATGAATATTCAATAAAACAAAACTACCACTTATACCATAAAAGGAAGAAACTTTCCCCATTTTCGCAATATTTTCCATTCCTGCTCGGCTCCCATTGTGGCGTGATGTTATATAAATAGCCTTTCTCAAAAAAATCTTATCCAACTCTTAAATATTTTTTCAATTCAAATCAGTAGTTTCTGAGAGTGCTAATCTCAGAAAGTAAACTAGCAAAGTATTTTGAATTGGTTACTTAGGCCGAATAAAGCAACGCGTAGGTTATAGTTTTTATATTTAAATGTATGATTTTACTTATGTGTATTTAATACTGTAACCAGCAAATATTAACAATCTTTTAAAATTAATAATTTTGTAAAATAATCATTGTTTTATTTCAAATTGTAGGTCCAGGCATTCAGAACGCTTATAGTCAGCAGTCCAATCTTCAAGCCCGTAGCCAGTTCGGTACCCAGACTCCTAACCAACAGTTCGATCAACAAGGAAGTAGCAAATATCAAGCTCAGCAAAACCGTAAGCAGATCTTAAGTTCACAAGGACCTAGCCAACAGTTTGGGAATCAGGCACACAACCAACAGTTTGCTCAGCAGCCACACAATGAGCAATTTAGTGAACAAACACAGTCAGTCAGTCAGCAGCAGCCACTTAGTCCGCAGTTTGGTCAGCAATCACTAAGCCAGCAATACTTCCAACAAGCTCGAAACCAACAGTTTGGGCATGTAGGAAGCCACGTCGGTCAACAAGATACATCTCCTCAAAATACCAATGATTTCGGAGCTCAGGCTCCGTACCAGCCTCGACCATCTTTTGCTAATAGCCAGAACTTTGGTTCTCAATCTTCTCAAAACTATCCTCAGCAATCCTTCGATGAAGAAACCGGTTATCATTACTGATCATTTATAAATATGGCTATCCCTTTGTTACAATAAATAAGCTTGTGTCTACTACGCTTCATAAGGTTGTTCTCTCACAGTACTATACTCGTATTTTAATAATCTATTAATTAATGAAAAAATGGAAGCAAAAAACTTAATTATGACATTTTAAATCTACCGACTTATCAAATTAAAAGTTTTTTGTCGTGCTATTATATTTTTTTATTACATATTGAACCTATTTACTTGTATAAGATCATTTCGATTAATAATAAAATGAAAAAATAATATAAGTAAAATGAAAAGATACACTACATCTACATCTACTAATATGGCAAACAATCATTTTGCTAGTTTGATACGGTAAGTATTTAGAATATGGACGTTCGCCTCACTCGTACTTAGCTGACGGTGTAAAGCTTTTACATGGACTTATACGAGATAGACCAAAATAATGTACTACGGAATTGTAATGCTTAAAAAGATCACGATGTACATCTCCAAAGTATAACCCACAGTAACAGTAATGGGTTATTTTCGAAGGTATTTTAAACAATACATTATTTTTCCTTATCGAATTAAATACGTTAGATACGTTGTGCATTTAATGTAGATTAAAATTGCTGTTCACAGCATATCATTAAAATGAATATTTTAGAAGAAATTAGAGGTTTTAGCCGTGCATCTGTCGCGGGTGGCAGCGGCCCCGACAGGAATATCGCATTTAAAGATGTCCTGTAGTATCGTCCTATTATAATAATCGTATGATTAATATATATTGAACCCCTGCGAAGCCGGGGCGGATCGCTAGTTAATAATAAATTAGTACAGCACATGTGAAACAATAATAAATATTCTGTGTGCAGTACCTGTATAACAGATTACCTAGGTACGCTAATTATCTAGCCACTAACAAAAAAGCAGTTAAACTAACATAGAGAAATGCGCCCAAAGTTCTACACATTGTATTTATACATATAAAATTACAACTCTGAATGACAGATTCGCCAACGCAGAGCCTAAAACGCTGGGCTACAAACTTGCTCCACACGCTGACAGAATGCCCGGCGTGGGTTGAGCAGAGGCGAGACCTCGTGGCGGCCATCGGAGTGGGAGTTCTCTCGCTCGATAGCCTGATTGCGGCTATCGTGCGGAGCGAGAGTGCGTGGAACTCTGCCGTCTCCTTCTGCGAGCAAGTTATGCTCGCGAAGGAGACGGCGGAGCGGGACCGGGAGAGGTTTAGAACTCTCCCGGCCCGCCAGGCCCGGGAACGGGCTAGGTACCGCAGGCAACTGAGGCGCCGGAGGTCACAGAACGACCTCCGTCCTCTATAAGCGCAGGCCTGGGGGTGACAGGTGAGGCCATCTGTCACCCTAGCAGAAGCAGGCCGGGGTGGCGCGCTCGCTTCCAGGGAGCAGAGGGAACATGGGGTTCCCACACGGGGGGGGGGGGGGGGGGTCGTCTACTCGTCTGTAGATGGCCCGAGGTATGTGGGGGCCTTCCTTTCTAGGGTATACCTGGTTCCCCGGCTATTAGTACCCGAGACGGCGAGCGGTTTTAGTCGGATCGAGTCCGACATGCCACCATGAGGATTTCGAGGGGAAAAAAAAAAATGGGCCACTAACTTGAAAGTTTGGCAGCTGATACTTTTTATATTATAAGCATCCACTAAGAAAAGATTTTTGGAAATTTTACTTTTTATGGGGTAAAATAAGGGATGGTTGGATGAAAGGTTGTATGGAAGTTGGTCATTTTCAAAGTTAGAAACACGAAATAAGAAATAATCATGCAAGCAAAGCTGTAGGCGATAGCTAGTATTTTATAAAAAGCCGGTGAAGTTATTAGCAAGCTAGGGTAGAGTGGTAGGTAGGGCTGGTGGTAGTAATTATCAAAAGAAAATTTTAAATCCTTTGTTCTGATTAACAAATAGCAAAGTCTATTTTCCATCTACCCGGAGACGACATTGATTGTCAATATTTCATATATAGTATTGTTTGTCATTATTAGCTTTCAACAGATTTTTAATAATAATATATAAAATTCCTGCCAATTCTATTCTTGTCTGCTGACTTATATATAAGACCACACGTCTATATGCCCACCCATTTTCAAGACACTGTTCAAGAACTTTTGTTGATGGGATAGGAATACTCCTATCTCTTTCTACTATCTCAGTAATTCTTTCCAATAAATGTAAATTAATACTCATATGACATGACATTAACAGAATTCAAATACCAGTTTTTAGAAATCCGTTTTAATCTTAAACATGTGGAATAGACAGACTGAATGAATGATTTAATTCTTGAAGAATTCTTGACTGTCTCTATAAAAATATCTAATATTTTATAGCAGTTGAATGAGCCGCTTTACAGAATAAAAAAATGTAATGAACGCGTTTAATTGAGGTATGCTATTAGAAGCCACCGGGCACGTGACGGTCGGCCTCCGCCTGAGGAGGAATCCGAGAAGTGTGGGACCAATCGCCGATCCACGTACAACATTGGTCATCAGTATGATATGGGTGTAGCCTTTCTAGGCACGTTTTGTAAGGAGGGTTACCGGATATCTAAAGAACAACCGTTTTTAAAACCTCTCCTATTTTAGGAACAGCGCATCGTGTGGTTTTCCCCTGTTTAAATTTGACAGGCACCCTCTCAAAAACCCTTGTGGTGGTGTTGCCACGGGGAGATTTTCACACTTACAAAAAAATCTGCTGGAGCCCTTTGAAAATTTATAAAAGAAGTAATACAGATCTTAGTTTTAGATACTGGGACTCAATCCCAAAATTACCTTTCCTTTACTCTTCGTTTATGGGCGGACTGGTGCAAACTTGGTATCCTGTCTTTTTAATTTTGTTGTATGTTCTGTCAGTGATATTTGGTGATAGATTTTAAAGATTTTGATAAACTTTACCAGTACTACAGTGAGTCGCAAGTCTTCGCATAAGATTTATACTATCTACTGACCGTAAATCATAGTTACACGACCCCAGCGGTCATCGCCCTTTATAAGTGATTTAAAATGACTAGATTGCGGGTCCGCCTCACTTATGATATAATGTAATTAAGTTCTATCGTAACAGACACATCTCTAATGTGACAATTTGTCAAAACATTTTATTCGCCTTTTGATTACTTTTTGTGTTCTTATGTATTATGCTTCTTTGTTAGACAAGGTGACTTTTAGATTTTTAATAATCACGACGTGAAATAGAATACAGTGGTTAGGTTTTTAGTTTTTATCCTAAACTTGCAATTTATATATGTTTCACAAAATGTAGTGAATAGCAGCGTAGGTATTTCATGCTTGGACAATTATAACAATATTTTTTAAATTTAGATACCTCGTATACAGTATGTAATCTACTCGAAACTAAGCAAATCCCAATCTATGGTAACCTGACTCCTACCAAACATACTTATACACATTGTTACGTACGTAAGTCTATACATAAATTACACCCACTTGAAGTTTACTCAAACACATGTTTAAATGTTCACTTATATAATTTTTATAGGCATGTAGTAGACAGGGTACTGTGGCTGGTGGCTGTTTTCAGACGATGCATAAAGTCCCTATTTTGCATATCTAAATCTAATAATTGTTTTATTATATGTAGCTACTATTCCCTACATTTTAATTTAAAAAAATACTAGATGCTGTTAGATTGGCAAAATACGGTGTAGTAATAATCGCCTGAAAACAGCTTTAACATCTATACTAATATTATAAAGCTGAAGAGTTTGTTTGTTTGTTTGAACGCGCTAATCTCAGGAACTACTGGTCCGATTTAAAAAATTATTTCAGTGTTAGATAGCCCATTTATCGAGGAAGGCTATAGGCTATATATCATCACGCTAAGACCAATAGGAGCGGAGCACCAATGAAGAATGTTTCAAAAACGGAGAAAATTTATTACTATTGAGAGACGCAGACGAAGTTGCGTGGGTCAGCTAGTATTAAATATATATTATAGCTTTAATTAGTAACAACGCGTGAGTAAGTAGCAACCCTAACCCACCCAATGATAAATCACAGTTCACTGTAATTTTATCTCATAGTATCCTTACGTATTAACACCAGAATAGGATGCCTTGTTCTGTGATATTAATGATAATTTAAATTTTTGATTAACATTGGGTGTATGAAGAACTGGTAGAACCACATAGACATTGAAAAGAATATATTATGTAGGTATGTACGTATGAAATTACTTAAAAAGTAACATAACCCAGTAGTAACGTGTATTTATATGGATTAATAATATTTAGATGCAATATGAGTGTTACATACTTACATTACTATTAAGTTTTTTTTTTTTTTTTATATGAAGCAGATTTGCATTTTATAACATGCCTATATTTACCAAGAGTTCATTAAAATAATTACAATTCATTCTAGGGTTGCTTGCTTAGGTCAATTCTACGCAATAATCCCTTCGTAAGTACATGCTTTCATTTCATCAACAGCGTTTAACAGTCCACTGCTGGACATAAGCCTCTCCTTAGAAAGGAGGTTTTGGCCTACTATACCAAGCTGGCCAGACGGGTTGGTATAGGATTTATGTGGGGTGCTAGGCTAGAAAACCTCCCCGTGGTGCACCCTGGAAACGCTGGCGATGGTACTGTTTCCTCCTTGTCCTCTTGGAGGAGAGGATTATCGCCAGCGGCTAATATTCTAGCAGAAGAGGTAGCCGTTCATCGGCTCTCGGGCAAGGCCTGGTCCAGCAGGGTGGGCGTGTCTGCCGGTTGCCCTGCTGGCTCTTCGCTCTTCGGAGCATGGAGGAGGAAACCTCGGTAAAAAACCGGATGGCGGGGCCCTGTAGGGGCCACAGTTTCTCCGCTGACAGCGGTGGAGAAACGAGGACGGGCTCGGCGTGTACTGACACTACCACCGAGCAGGCAGGGGGACGTAGTCTCCCTGTCAACCGTCGGCATATCGTAATCCCGAGAAGAGCGCTGTGGTTAAGTCTCGCGGCTCTGATCGGGGGCGAGGGTCTTCCCTTAACCGCCCGG